CAGCTTCACCTCCTTCTGCCAGGATTGCCTTCACCAGCAGCTTCACCTCCTTCTGCCAGGGTTGCCTTCACCAGCAGCTTCACCTCCTTCTGCCAGGGTTGCCTGGAAGCTGTCTCGGAAGCTGGCAGGAGGGAGCTCCTGCCCGAGGAGCAGTACCTGCCCGCAGAAGGAGGAAGGTCAGTACTGGGTGCAGCAGGAAGGACTCAGAGCAGGATTTGGCCACCGGAGAATCAAAGGGAGTAAATGACATCTCCTCAGTACCAGCAAACCTATGGAAAGGCGGGATGGGAAAGGCAGGAGGCAACGAGAGAAAGAAAAGTGGAGATGGTGATGATGATTAGCGCTGTGCGACCGAGGGAACACTTAAAGGCGCGGTGGAGAGGCAGTGTGGGACGAGGCAGAGGAGGAGGGAGCAGTGGATGGGGAAGGGGGGAAAGGCGGGATCTGGGCACGGCAGAAAAGGCCTGAGCAGAAGGGGTAAGAGCTGGGCAGAGGAGCGGGGCGCTGACGGGGCTGCGGGCCGGGAGTCCCGCGGGAGCCGCGCGGGCGGAGCGCGCCCGGGATGCTCCCGGGGAACAGCCGCGTCCGGGCCGGGAGCGCCGCTCGGATGCGCCGGAGCCGCGCGGTCCCAGCCCCTGCCAGCGCCAGGGGGGTCGGAGGGGGAGCGGGAGAGGGAGGGAAGGAGGGAGGGGAGCGAAGGGAAGCAGCGAGCGGCGCGGAGCCCTCGGCATCCAGCGGCAGCGAGCGCTCCGGAGCCGCGGCTTCCTGGAAGCGGCGCCCGGCTGGGCGGCGATAAGCGGCGATAAGCGGCGATAAGCGGCGGCTCTCCGGCCCTGCCGGCCGCCCGCACCCGCCGCGACAGCCGCGACAGCCGCGACAGCCGCGACAGCCGCGACAGCCGCCACGGCAGCGCAGCCGAGCCGCGCTCCGCGCCCGCCGGCCCGAGCGCAGGTGCGGCACAGGTAGGGCACACCTGGGCACACCTGGGCACACCTGGGCACACCTGGGCACGGAGAGGGGCTCGGGGGGCGCGGGGCACCCGCTCCGCCCGCGGGGGAGAGCTGCGCTGCCGGCAGGGGACAGCAGCTGGCGGGGACACGGACACCTGAGCCGGGACTCGGTCACCTGCGGGATGTGGTCACTTGGGGAGTGCGGTCACTTGGGGAGTGCGGTCACTTGGGGAGTGCGGTCACCAGGGGGATGCAGTCACCTACCGGACTCAGTCACCTGGGGGACCCGGTCACTTGCGGGGCTGTGGTCACCAGGGGGATGCGGTCACCTACCGGACTCAGTCACCTGGGGGACCCGGTCACTTGCGGGGCTGTGGTCACCAGGGGGATGCGGTCACCTGGGGGCTGTGGTCACTTGGGGATGCGGTCACCTGCGGGATGCGGTCACCTGCGGGATGCGGTCACCTGGGGGATGCGGTCACCTGGGGGACCCGGTCACCTGCGGGGCAGGCGAACATCTGCGAGCGGGCAAGCCTCAGGGATGCCAAGGCTCCCGCAGGGGCTGCACCCTCGCAGAGAGGCTCGGTCGCTTTTTGTCCGGGGTGAAGGCATTCCCGGCAGGAAACACCCCGGAATCCCCGGCCCGACAGCACCTGGCTGGAGCAGGTGGAACAGTGAGAGGAGCAGGAGAGCTTTGTGCCATCCCGTCGAGTTTGCCTTTTGGAGGTGTTGTTGCATGAGCTGGTTATGTTTTAGTTAACTCTCTTTGTCTGTGCAAAGATTACATTTTATTTGCCTTTTTTTTTTTTTTATTGCTTATTCGTGTAAATACAAGTTGAGGTTTTGGGTCACAGCCCAGTTACGTTTTGATTCAGACAGAGTTTAATTTCCCCTTTTAAAAAGTGTTTTAAATAAGTTGGGCCATATGGAAGTAGAGTTGTTAATCAACCAAAGAAACTTGAAGAAGTTTGAAAAATAAGGTTATATACTTCTGGAGCCATTTCTTGTATTGAACCAGCACCAGTACTCAAACTCCTGATTCAGTAATTTCCTTTGCTGGGATCAAGACTTAATCTGCCCATACCTGTGTTTTCACAGCTGCAAAATGGGAGCTACACCTATTGATGAGGTGCTTACTTCTTTTTTTTTTAAGACCTTAATTAAAAACAAGAAAAGCAGAGGAAGATAATTTGCAAGGGTAGTAAACAGTGCAAAATATGTCTGATGGAATATTGCATGCTGAATGGAGAGGCTCACCACAGATGCTGTGGCTGAAGGAGTGTGCAGTGAGGAGCTCCCTCTCTGTTGTATTCCTGGGTCATGCAGCTCATCCCTTCTCTGCTCTGAATCCTGCACAGTGAATGACACAAGCACCACGTGTAGCCGTGCAGGAAGAGCTGCACAAACCCTGCCAAAATGGGCTGGAGCTGTCTTGGAGTGGCAGGCCCAGCCTCCTCCTGCCCCAGGTCTGGAGAGGAACGTGTGAGATGCAACACGTGGGAGCTGGTGGTTCACGTGAAGCTGGCAGCATTCCCCCTCCAGTTAGAGCCTGGATGCCTCTGGGGGAGTGAAAGGGCTCCCCTGAGCTGCCAGGACCCCATCCTGAGCCAGGGCTCCGTCCTGGAGGCGCTCAGAGCTGCAGGGTGCTCTGTCAGCAGCACGGGCCGGGGCAGGCCAGAAGGGAGTGATGGAGTTATGTAATGGATTCCCCAAGGACAGGGGATGGTTTCCTTCTGTCAGGACAAAGAGCAGCTGCACAGCTGCTCCACAATTTTCTCCCCAGCCCTGGGTTCCTGTGGAGCAATCCAGGCAGGGAGCTGGGATCCTGGAACAGCACATCCACCAGTGCCACTTTATTCCCTTCCAAGCCAGTTCTTCCCAAATGCTCCTTTGCAATATCCCCATAAAGAGTCTGAGCAATGGACCCGAGCCCCTCTGGCTGGAAAGGGAAACCAGGCTCAGTCTGTGGGGAGGGGTAAGTTGTGATCCTCACGTGTCTCAGGGTCTGGGGAGTGGCAATGTGGGGTTACAGAGCACCTGGACAAGGCAGAGGTTCTGGGTAGAGAAAGTTATCCAAGATAAAGCAAGGGAGGGGGAGCTGTCTCAGAGGGGTTATTAATTGGTTCCATTTGGATGAAATAAATAGAAAGACTGGAATTGAAGGAGATAATTTGTGTAAAATAGTAGGTTTAATATTATTTGAATGTGCACACTTGATCTTAGCCAAAAGGCTGAGAAAGAGGGAACAGACAGAGCTGAATTATCCCGACTGTTGTTGGCCAGCACAGGATATTTTGGAAGGTGACTAGCTGGTGACAATCCAAAGTTACAGACAGTGAGTTGTGCAAGGACAGCAGCCAGCCTTTAATGGCTACAGGTGCTCGGGGCCCTGGCTTCAGTTCCCATCCTCGGATGTGCCTGCAGAAGCACAACAGGGACATACATGAAATACCAGGTTTTATCCACTTCTTTCAAATTTCCATCTCTGCTGCCAGTTTATTCTCCCTGAGGACAGACTGTTTTAAACCAGTATGTCTTCAAAGATAGAATGACTGAAAACTATCATTTTTATTCAGTTCAACTTTTAAGGGCAAAAACTTGCTTTTCAGACAGACAAGGTATTTAATCACCAGTAATCCAGATCAGAACACTGAGATGATCTTGTCATTAATACAGAAATACCCTAAGTGTAGTTAGCAAACAGATTTATATGTAACTGCTCTAGATGGGAATTTAGCTGTTTCAAATTAAATAATAAAAACTATTTAATGGAGAACAGATGCAATTATTATTGGGACAGTAACTGTGTCAGTGACATTTTATTGTTCGTGTTCTTTCTGTGACTCCATCTCTGATCTGCTTGATGAAGTAGCAAAAATCTACTTCCATTATTTCCATAATGTAAAATCTATTGGTCCTCGAGAGCTTGAAGAGGCCAAGGCTGCGTGTTTTGGGAAGAATTTTGTCACTGGAAGGGTGCTCAGGCCTTGGCTGCCCAGGGAGGGTTGGAGCCCATCCTGGGGGTGTCCCAGGTGTCCCTGGAGTGGCACTCAGAGCCCGGGGCTGGGCACAGCTGGCACTGGATGTGCTGGGGGGGTTGCAGCAGCACTGGCCCTGTGGCTCTGGGGGGGTGCCTCGTGCTGGGGCAGAGGGGCTGTACAGGCCAGGAGTGAAATGGGGATGATGCAGCAGCCTTTGTGCAGTGCTGGGAGGTAAGAGAGCAGCATCAGTCCTGCTCCACTGCATAGCAGAGTTATGCCTGTGATCAGGGAATGAACCTTGCTCCTCTCAGCTGGATAATTTATTTATTTCACACTGTAGGAACAGCAGTAGCAAAGCACTCATCATTTTATTTTAAAAAATCCCTGGCTTATAGACTGTGTTCACCATGAGAGTTTTGTTGAAATGTTTTAAAACTTGCCATTTTAAGCTATGCAGAAATGCCCGTGGCTGCTGCTCTGTGTGCTGGGAGGCAGGAGGGGTGACCTGGTTACGTGAGCTCACAGATCTCTCTCTGCCTCACGTTCTTGCAAGGCAGAACAACAACATAACTTTCTTCTTTCAGGATAGTTAATGTTCTGGCCCAGAACTACAGCACCAGATGTGTTGCCACAGAAACAATTTAAAGGGAGAAGGAATTGTAAGCAAATTGTCTTTCTTGTGGAAAATGTTTGAGAGCCTCTCCTTGGTTGCCTTGTTTCTCTCTATGTGTGTGCACAGCAGAGAACAAGGGACAATTTTGCTTTTGTTTCGTACATCTGCTATTGGTTTAAAATTCTCTATACAGGGTTGAAAATTGAAAAATATTCTATTATGGGCATGACTTATGTACCTCAGAGACATTTTTTATTAAATCCTGATTCACTTTTAGAAACTTTTTTCCTTTAAAAATGTGCTGTGTGCTAGCTGATTTACTTACCTCCACTTGCAACATGCTTTGAAAAATATTTCCAGTCACAGTTGTTTCTGTGAAAGTAAGAAAACATTTGACTTTATAGTTGTCCCAGATTTGGGTGCTGAGAATTAGGATCACATTCTCCTTACTACAACTGACATGCTGATGAAAAGAGGGAATGTTTACAGGAAATATGTTGATCTAATTTTGCCTAGGAAGCCTTAAAGTAGCCAAAGCCCTTGATTTTAGCTAGTGTTTCTTTTTCTCAAAGCAGCGGATGCTCTATTCAACACACTCTTTTCTCAGCTGTTATGAAAATACTTGTCTGAACAAAATGCAATGTGAATTACGTTAGTATGTCCTTTTGACATTTTTGACCGCAGCATAACATCTTTATCCTGCATTCTGTTTGGGGAGAGTAACGAGAGGAGCATCCAGGAGGGTCCCAGCCCTGGCAGGACTTTAACAAGGTCACAATCCAGACATAAGGAGCTTTGTTTCCACAGTTCTTTGTGCTTCATGCAGTCGGGAGGCCTTTGTCCCTGCACATTTGGAAATACTGCTGGCTGTGGAACTGAAAGAGCCATAACTGCTTTATCTTACCAAAAGCCAAGGTGAAGTCTGGCTCTCTGCAGTGATGGAAAGATTTTGCCAGATGCAGTTGTGTGCACGATGCTGCCCGTGGCTGGGAGGGAATGGACACTCAGGATTATCCTGAGGAACCTCCTGTCCTTACCTGCCTGTTCAGTATTCCTCTGTGAGAGTTATGGTTGTTAAAGCTGTTTTCCTATAGCCAGACTTTGAAATACCCCTGAGTCTGGAAATACACAATTTATTCCCTTTTTTACCAATTCTTGTACAAATCTGGGATCTTCACTTTTCCTTTGAGGAAAATCGATTAGAACAGAAATCTATCCAGGTGTCCCGAGCTGGGAGCAGTGGTCTGTGCCTCAGAAAGCAGTTTCAGCTCTCTGCAAGTGTCCTGCCAGAGCACTGGGCTGCAGCCTCGGAGCTCTGGAGCTGGGCTGCGTGCCACGTCCCTCACTGCAGTCCTGGCAGCTCCACAGGCTCTACATCACCAGGGAGATCTGCCAGCCTGATAAGAAACTCATTTTTC